ACTGTGGAAAACATTTTTTTTTTTTTAATGTTTTATTGTGAATTATGTGATAGTTTACATGGGAGAACATTAGTTTTACATTCATCCTATTGTATACTGTTTCATTGTCATGGTTACAATCCCCTTCTTGCATCATCAACCAACCAAAGGGTATACCCTGCAAGCCTGCCCCCTGGTCGTCAGTACACAGCCCCTTTCCCTCTCTGTGTCTAAAGACCCCAGCTGCTCCATCTCTTGTGGAAAACATTTTAATGGTTCCTCAAAATGTTCAATACACCAGTTGCTGACTGTAAGTCAGTGAAGAACTGCCCCATAGGGTTTCCAAAGCTGTCATCTTTATGGAGGATGCCGGGTGTGGCACAGTGGGTGAATGCGCTGGACTGCAAAGTTGGTTTGAACTGCAAAGTCAGTGGTTCAAGCTCACCAGCTGCTCCTTAGAAACCCAACACAGGGTCGCTATGGGTTGGAAGCGACTCAACAGCACTTAACAATAACAGTCTTTATGAAAGCAGACTGTCGCAGCTTTTTCCCATGGAGCAGCTGGTGGGTTCGAACTCCTGACCATTTGATTAACAATCGAGTGCTTAATCACTGCACTACCAGGAAACCTTTCACAAAACATAGAACTATCATAAAGCAAAACAGAAAATAAAGCTGTTACCACTGAGTCAATTCTGACTCATGACCACCTATGTGTTACAGAATAGAACTAAATTCTGTAGGGTTTTCTTGGGCTCTGTAGTAGGATAATCACTAGACTACGAACTATAAGGCTGGCAGTTCAAACCCACCAGCCACTCTTTGGGAGAAAGAAGAGGCTTTCTGTTCCTGCAGAGATATATAGCTTCAAAAACCCTGTATGAGGTCACTATGAGTTGGTAATGACTTGACAGCACGTAACAATAAACAACCATCTTTACGTTAAGTCCATCATTGGGGTTTTCCTCTGCAGTATCACTAGGTGGGTTCACACCGCCAGACTTTGAGGTTAGTTTGTTGTTGTTGTTATTAAGTGCTGCCAAGTCAGTTTTGACTTACAGCGACCCTGTATAAGGTTTTCCAAGGAGCAGCGGGTGGGTTTGAACTGCCAGCTTTGCAATTAGCAGTCAAGTGCCAATCCTACAGCACCACACCAGGACACTGTAGAATAACTATATGACCATAATACCATACTCCTGTTGTAGTTGTTAAGTGCCGTCAAGTTGGTTCCAACCCACAGAGACCCTGTATAGGATTTCTGAGGAGCCACTGGTGAGTTTGAACTGCCAACCTTGCAGTTCAAATGGCTTTGCAATCTGGTGCATTAACCCACAGCACCATACCAGGACTCTAGGTATAAGTATATCCAAAATAATTTACAGCAAGGGCTCAAGCATATCCCTGCATGCCAAAGTTCACTGTAGCATCATAGCACAGGCAAAAGTTGGAAATAAACCAAGTGCCCATCAACTAATGAATGGAAAAAAAAAAATACAGCATATCCAGACTATGAAATCTTATTCAGCCATAAAAAAGAATGGATTCAGAATGCATGCTACAACATGATGAACCTTGAAAACATTATACGAAGTGAAATAAGTCAGACACAAAAATATTGTATGATACCATGTTGGGTGCCATCAAGTCAGCTTCAACTCAAAGCAACTGCATGCACAAAAAAACCAAACTGCTTCATTCTCACAACTGTTGCTTTATTTGAGTTCACTATTGCAGCCAGGGTATCATTCCATCTTACTGGAGGTCTTCCTCTTTTTCCACTGACCCTCTACTCTAGCAAGCATGTCCTTCTCTAGGGACTTGTCCCTTCTGAGAACATGATTCCACAGAGACAGTAGATTAGAGAATACCAACAGCAGGCTGAGGAGTGACAAGGGGGAGTTAATGCTTAAGGGGTACAGAGTTTCGGTTTGGGGTCCTGAAAGAGTTTTGAAAATAGATAGTGGTGATGGTTGTACAACATTGTGAATGCAATTAATGCCACTATATGATACACTTAAAAATTGTTAAAACAACAAACTTAATGTTATATATAGTTTACCACTCAAAAAAAAAAAAAAAAAAAAAGTTAGAAGAGGACCCTGAACCTGGTTTTGTGAGTGAACAGCACATCCCATCCACAGAGCTGGATGCTGAAGGGCTCTGGAGCCTGCAGAGTTTGAGCATCTGCAGGTGTGTGATCTGGGAAGGCTGCCTGGAGCCCGCCGTGAGCCATCCCTCCCTGCTGCACTATGACCGGGCACCAGCTTATAGACAAGCATGTCAGCCAAGTCATCAGAGGCTCACGGGAAAGGCTTTTGTAATACAGTCACAGGCTCAGCTTTCTGGGAATCTCAGTGACCGAAGAGGGGTCACCTAGGGATGAGGACACACACCAAGGTAACAGGCACTCCTTGCTTAGCTGTAATGGCAAACATGGTGGCTATCCTGAAGACCCGCTCTTATTAGGGGCAGGTGCGCTTTCCTCTCCCCAAGGCTCCGAGAACACTACACACGAGAATGGAAGAGCTCTTAAAGAGAGAGTCCAAGCACCCCATTTTACAGATGAGGAAACCTGCCCAGAGAGAGATAAAATGTGTCATCAGAGTCCTACAAATAAGTCAGAAACAGAGCCAGGAATGAGGTCCATGTCTCACTCCTAGTCCAAGGCCAGAGACATTCTAGAGCCATAAAGTAGCCCATGCTTTATTATGTACAGGAGAAAGTGGAACAGAGATGTTTCAGGGAAGAGGAGGGCAGAAAAGTGTGTGAAGCAGAAGGCAGCTGAAGGGTGCAGAAGACAGAGAGAAGAGCTCTCAGTTAGATACTCAAGAAACAACTGGGCATGGACTGTCAACACAGGCGAAGCGAATAAATGAGGGAGAAACAAGCCTGGTCCCTTCTCTTAGGACACAAAAGGGAAAAGGCTGGACAAAGAGTAAGAAAGGAACTTTGAGGGAGCAGGATGAAAAACTAAAGGTGTTTCCACTGGTGACCATGATCTTCCCATTAGGGAATGAGGCCAACTGCTGGAAGAGCATCCTTATGGGGACTAGACTAGAGGTATATGGTCCAGATCCACAGGGTACCCTGGGGTACACTCAGGAGTCAATTAAAGGCTAACAAGGTCTGCAGAGCTGCTCGGGGGTTTGGACATTGCTGTACCTGTTATCAGCATAGGTGCCAAAATCACAGCTCGTGACTGTTCCTTTATGCCAATGCCTGGGGGAAGCTGCAGAGAAGCAGATGGGCCTGCAAGTGAGGGGCAGGCAGGGGGGCTCGAGGAGAGTGAGGACACAGGTGAAACGGAAGCGAGGCAAGACCAGGAGGAGGCAGAGGGAAGTAAATGAGGAGGGAGGTGAATGAGGAAGGAGGAACTATCACTGGGACAGTGGATGACACAATTCTAGATCTTGCAGTAATGGGTTGGGACAGGGCCCAAAGTGTCCCCAAGTGTGGCTGGCTCACAGGAAGTTCACAGAGATGAAACAGTGTTTGGAATATTTAGAAGCGTCAGCGACTTGAATTCCAAGGCTGCCCAGAGGAAGAGAAAAACTGAGCTGCCAGAAGACTTGGAAGATGTGAAAGACCATTGTGAGGTCAGAGGGCAAGGCGCAGGGTGGCCCAACTTTAGAGGAAGTAGAGCTGGATGGGGATGCAGCAAGGGAAAAGTCAGCCCGTCCCCCACCCAGGGCCAGTATGACAGCCTCCAGCTGAGAAGCATAGATGAAATCAAGACCATTCATTCTACCAAGCAGCAGGATTCACAGCAACAGGTAAGGGAGTCTACCATCAACACAGGGCACCCTGAGGATTCCGAGGAAGCAGGTGTTGTAAGGGAAACCTCTGCAGAGAGACACCAAGTGGGGGGCGGGGGGGGCTTCCGAGGAGGTGCGCCTACTCAGTAGGGCCTGGATTCCATTCCATCTCTGAGGACTCAGGTGCCTCACTCATATTCTCCAGCAGACCCAATTCATCAACTTTGAAGCAGTACTTAATGTGCGTCTTTCAGGTAGGAAGGCTTAACCATTTCTAAGGAGCTCTGGACTTAGGTGTGGCACTGAAGACTGCTGACCACAAAGTCATCAGCTCAAACCCACTAACCACTTGTCAGAAACCCTATGCAGGGTTGCTATGAGCCATAACCAATTCATGGCACTTAACAGCAACAGAATTGGGTCTCTAGTTGAAATGCTTCTCTTCCAGGGACCCAGCTCTTTAGCACTCCGTCTACACTAGCACCTTCCCACATCCATGGCCTTATTTTTCGTAACAAGCATCACATCTGTCATGGCATGTATCAAAGCCTGCTTGAAGTTCCTCTCACCTCACTAGAACTGAAGCTCTGTGAGAGCACACTTTTGCCTGGTCTGTCCACAGTGGTGCTGTAAGAGAAGTACTAGACTGATATCCACAGGATTGGCAGTTCAAACCCACCCATAAAGTTTTAGTCTCGGAACTATGAAGGGCTGGTATGAATCAGAATTGACTCGGTAGCAGTGGGGTTTGCTTCGTTTAGTTGTTCTTGTACTGCTATCCACAGTGCTCAGAACCACACCAGCATGCACAGGCACTCAATGAATATTTTTAGATCATTGTTCAAAATGCCTATTTCCTATACCCAATAAAATTCCACAAGAGGATGGTGGTACAGCTTCTGTGAATTAAAAAAAATAAAACATGGTACCACTAAAACAATTTCTCTAATGATGTTTTTCTTCTTTCTACATCCTTTAAAAACATGTCCATAATGCATCCCTATACTTAGAAACATTTCCCTAAAGCACCCCCTTGGTGGGAGAAATGCTTCCATCTTTTCTGGTTATTGGCCACCTGGCAGGGGGTGCCCTCCAAGTACCCTGGATGGGTTTACAAACAGATACCATCACTGTCATCTCAAATCTCATGACTGGAACAATATTGCAGTGTGCCTCCTATTTTTCACTATCAGTTTCTAGCAATGATGGCTCTGCAAGCACCATGAAAAGCCAGTCTGTGCCTACAATGAAAAAAGCAATACATACCGCGACCTGGGCTGAGTCGAGGAACTGGAGTCCAAAGTAATCTGTCTCCACAAGGTCCAAGTGGTACACGATCTGATCAAACAAATCCTGGCCTTTGGCATGTTTCTGGAAGACAATTGGGGACATGAAAATTTAGGGTGGGATGCCTGGATAAGAAATCAGAGATTCTGAAAGAGCTAAAATCACTTCACTATGTAATATACATGTAACATGTCACTTAAAAATTTTTTTAATGTCAACTAGTTTATGATAAATTGAATATAAACTCATGACTCAAGAAAATCAAATGTCATGTAGCAGTATAAAAAGACCATGTATTAAAAATCCAGATAACAATTATTGTTGTTGTTAAGTGTCTTCAAGTCAGTTCTGACCCAAAGCAACCTTGTATAGGGTTTCTGAGGAGCAGCTGGTGGGATTGAACCACGAACCTTGCAGTTCAAACCAAACTTTTCAGTCCAGTGCATTAACTCATGGTGCCACACCAGGACTCCTGGTAATCACCAGGATTAGCACTTTCTAATTTCTCCTTTCAAAAGAATGCTTTTAAGACAAATGCCTATGCATGACAGTAAGATTTGCAAGAATCAGACACTCTCAAAGAAAGGTATGAGGGGTTTCTACTTTAGCAGTGAAGCATCAGCAGTTTCCCCTAAACTTTCTCCTCAATGCAAGCACCCTTATGAAATCAGCTCATCCCTTAGGTCTGACTCTTATGAATCAGACACTCTCAAAGAAAGGTATGAGGGGTTTCTACTTTAGCAGTGAAGCATCAGCAGTTTCCCCTAAACTTTCTCCTCAATGCAAGCACCCTTATGAAATCAGCTCATCCCTTAGGTCTGACTCTTATGAATCAGACACTCTCAAAGAAAGGTATGAGGGGTTTCTACTTTAGCAGTGAAGCATCAGCAGTTTCCCCTAAACTTTCTCCTCAATGCAAGCACCCTTATGAAATCAGCTCATCCCTTAGGTCTGACTCTTACAACACCGATTTCACAGAGTGGTGAGCAGGACCCAGAAAAAAACTGCTGGAGTCTCTGGTGATAGACCCGGGACTCATACTCATACTCAAGGTTCACACTTCAGGGTCCCAATCGACTATGTAGTATACATACAAGGAACATGAATACAAGAAGAGAGTCAGAGACAAGAGTCAAGTCCTGGATCTGCCACTTATTAGCTGTGTAACCCAGGAAGTCACTTCTCATGCCTTCTCCTTCCTTCCCTGTAAATGGGCTGAATGAATGTTACCTGTTCTCATCTCCCCAAGGATCACATGACACTGCAAATGAGAAACCACTGCTGGTTTCTGAGAAAGGAAAGAGTTTATTATCATTCACAGTAGCAAGACATAGGCCCAATTCACTGACTAAAAATATTCTTCTAATAGTTCCAAGGAGTCTTGGTGTGTAACTGTGGGTTAATGTGCAAGTCTGCAAAGTTGGTTTGAACAACAAGGTTGGTGGTTCAAGCTCACCAGCTTCTCCTTAGAAACCCTATACAGGGTCACTATGGGTCGGAACCGATTCAACAGCACTTAACAACAATAGTTCCAAACACAAATATGTTTAAACCTAAGCAAACATATTGATAAAGAAAACAAAACAAAAACCAGCTTCCTAGGATGGTCAGAAAATTGACTCCTTATAAAATTAGCAAATATTGGGAAAGATTCGAACATTTATTCTGTCTTTAGCTGTACACACTAAGTAAACCAAATTGAAGATGGCACCGTATAAAAAATTAACTCAAAATGGATCAAAGACCTAAATTTAATATTCAAAACTCTTAAAGTCTTAGGGAAAAAAATGAATTTCAATCTTTGTGACTTTGGATTTAGGGATGATGTCTTAGATATGACAACTAAAGCGTAACAATAAAAGAAAAAAATAGATAAACTGGACATCATCAAAATTAAAATCTTTTGTTCTTCAAGGGACACCAAGATAGCATGAAAGTTGAAAGACAATCCACAGAAAGGGAGAAAATGTTTGCAAACTGCACTTCTGAGAATGGACTTGTAACTAGACTATACCAAGAACTATTATAACTCAGGGAATCCTGGTGTGGCACTGTGGGTTAATGTGCCGACTACAAAGTCACTTGAACCAGAAAGTTCAAACTCACCAGTTACTCGCTCCTCAGAAACCCTAAACAGGGTGGCTATGGGTCGGAACTGATTGGATGGCACCTAACAACAACATTATAACTTAACAATAAAAAGACAAAAAACTTTTAAAAAACAAGCAAAGGATCTAAGTAAACCCTGGAGTCCTGGTGTGGTGCTGTGGATGAAAGCACTGGACCACAAGGGCAGTGTGAACCACAAGGTCACAGGTTCAAACTCAGCAGTCGCTCCTTGGGAACCCTATGGAGGTTGCTAAGAGTAGGAACTGACTAGATGGCATTTAACAATAACAACAAAAGAAGATAAGCACATGACTAATTAGCACACAAAAAGCTGCTCACTGGCATTAGTCCTCAGGGAAATGCAAATCTAAACCACAAGGAGATGCCACTTCACACCCACTAGGATGGCTATCAGCAAGAAGACAGTTCAGTTATAAGTGTTGGTGAGGATGAGGGGAGATTGGAGCCCTCATACATTGCTGCTGGGAATGTAAAATTGTGCAGGTGCTTTGAAAAACAGTGTGGCATAGAGTTAAGCATAGAGTTTCTCATAGTTACCATGTGATTCAGCAATTCCACTCCTAGACATGTATCAAAGAGAAATGAAAACATATGTCCATGAATGTTCACAGTCAAAAGGTAGAAACAACACAAGTGTCATCAACTGAATACGCATAGGGACCTTGTCCAGGGTTTCCGAGGAGTGGCTGGTGGGTTTGAACTGCCAACTTTGTGTTTCGCAGTCCAGTGCTGATCCTATAGTACCACAAAACTGAAGACAACATAAACAAAATTTGGTATTATCCATACAATGGGAAATGATTCAACCATAAAATGGACTGAAGTTCTGGAACATGCTGCAAAATGGGTGGACTTTGAAAACATCTTGTTAAGTAAAAGAAAGAGTCCTGGTATGGAGCTGGGGGTTAATGTGCTGGACTACAAAATCATCTGAACCACAAGGTTGGTGGTTCAAGCTCACCAGATGCTCCTTGGAAACCCTATACAGGGTCGCTATGGGTTGCAACCGACTTGATGGCACTTAACAACAACAACAAGTAAAATAAACAAAGGACCAGGTACTGTCTAACTCCATTTATAAGACATGTACAGAATAGGCTAGGAGAAGAACTGGGTGACTGAGGGGAAACAGGATTCCTACTTGGGGTATTAAAATATTCTCAATTTGACAATGGCGATGGGTACGTAACTGAGCATATGAAAAGTCATTGAATATATACTTTTAATGGTTAACTAGGGGAGTGCAGCAGCACTGTAGGATAAATACTGGACTGCTAAACATGAGGTGGGTAGTTCAAGTCCACCAGCTGCTCTATATGAGAACGATGAGGCGTTGAGCTCTGGCAAAGATTTGTAGCCTCAGAAACCCTATACAGGGTCCCTCTGAGTCAGAACCTACCCAATGGCATGTAACAAGAACAACATGGATAGGAAGACTAACATTGTAAACATGTCAATACAATCCACAGTGATCTTCAGCTATAACACAATCCCAACCCAGATTCTAGCATCATTCTTTAAAGAGATGGAAAAACTAATCACTAACCTTACATGGAAAAGAGAGAGACCCTGGATAAGCAAAGAACTACAAAAGAGCTCTTGTAGCGTAGTGGTTACGAATTGGGCTGCTAACCTCAGGTCAGCAGTGTGAAACTATCAGCTGTTCTACAGGAGAAAGATGAGGCTTTCTGCTCCTGTAAAGATTTACAGCCTCGGAAACTATGTACTGGGTCGCTCGCTATGAGTCGGAACCAACTCCATGGCACATAACCACCGCCACCACAAAAGAAAAACAAAACAGGAGGCCTCTCATTTCCTAATCTCATAACCTACTACACAGCCTTGGTAGTTAAACAGTCTGGAAGACATTCAATGACAAACATACAGATCAATGGAACAGAACTGAAAATACAGAAGCAAATTCATTCACAGATAGTTAATGTTTTGACAAAGGGCTGAAATACATCAAATGGGGAAGACATAGTCTCTTTGACAAATGGTGCTGACAAAACTGGATATCCATTTGCAGAAGAATGAAAACAGGGTCCATAGCTTACACCATATACAAAAACCAACAAAAGATGGATAAGAGACGTAAATGCAAAACCTTGAACTATAAAGATTATCAAACAAAAATAGAGAAAAAACTTAGGGGTCCTACTACCAAACATTCAAAGAAGAACTGATACTAATTCTATCAAACTATTCCAGAGTACAGAAAAGAATGGAAAATTTCCAAATTCATTTTATGAAACTTGCATAACCATGATACCCAAACCACAAAGACATCACTTAAAAAAAAAAAAAATTATAAAGTAGTATCCTTCATGAAGGAGTCCTGGTGTGGCACTATAGGATAAGCACTGGACCACAAGGTCAGTTTGAATTGAAAGGTCAACAGTTCATATCACTAGTTAGTTGCTCCTCAGAAACGCTATACAGGGTTCTCTACAAGTTGGAACCAACTTGACAGCACTAAATAACAATAAAAATTCTCAACAAAATTCTAGACAATAGAATCCAACAACATATCAAGGAAAAAACAAAATGACCAAATGGAACTCATACCAGATTTGCAAGGTTGGTTCAACATTAGAAAAACAATCACCGTAATCCACCATATATAAATAGAACATGATCATATCAGCTGAAGCAAAAAAGGAATTTGGCAAAATCCAACACTCATTCCTGATAAAAACGCTCAACGAACAGGAATAGAAGGGAAATAATCTCAACAAAATTAAGGACATATATTTAAAAACCAATGGCCTACTTTACCCTCAATGGAGAGAAAACTGAAAACATTCCCCCTGCAAGTAGGAACCAACCAAGGATGCCCTTTATCACCACTCCTATTCAATATTGTGCAGGAAGTCTTGGAGCTATAACGCAAGAAAAGTGAAATTTAAAGTGTCCAAACTGGCAAAGAAGAAGTAAAACTATTTGCAGATGAT